GAGAACCAGCTAAAAGGAAGGCTTCAGAGCCAAGCGTCAGCTCACTCCGAGGTGCGAATGATTGGGGGGAGGCAGATGATCAGACATAGCCAAGATTAAAATGAGCATACAAAGGCCTCATGAATTGCATGTTTATCTGCCCCTTGTTAATGTGTAAAACAGACATACTGGAGCTAAATGTACCTTGGGAATGGCATAGGTAGGTGCTATTTGCCTATGGATGGCTAATTATCTGCCCACAGGCTCTGTATGTTTCTCCCTCCCCAGTTGGTAAGTGTACTGCCAGGGACACTGCAGACCACTTGGGAAAGTTTCTACGTGGTGTGAATTTTAAGGCAGACATGCCTGATTGGGTGAAATGAGAGCTGTAAAGTTTGACCTCTCTTCCATGAGCAATAAATACCAAACAAATAGGCCGCCCAGGGTGTGTGTGACAAAGCTACAGAAACCATGAAGAATTTTTAAAGGATAGAGTATCCAACCAGCAGCAAACACTTTCAGCCACCCAATGTGGCCTGTAAAGAAGCCAGATGGAGGCTAGTAATGGTGCCGTGCCCCTTTTAATCCAAGCACTTGGGAGTCAGAAAACCATCTTAGTCTCCATAGTGAGCTCCAGGACAGTCAGGACTACATAGAGACCTTACTCAGCAGCAGCTGTATGGGTCCATCGAGGTGGCTCAACTGGTGGGGGCTCTTGTTTCCAGGCCTGAAAATCTGAGCTTGATCTACAAGGCCCACATGGTGGAAGAAGACAGCCAACTATTCGGATGTCCCCTGACCCCGACATACATGCCAGTGTGCACATGCATGTGTATGCATAGATACACAGAGTGAATAAGTTAACAATAAATAATGATGTTACAAAAAAGAGCCTAAGAATTCATGGGTAATGGCTGAATTACAAAGAGCTAAATAGAGAAATGCCATTCCTGGCCACACTGCTGAACCCAGAACTGGTCTCTTGAAAACAGTACAAGTGGTGAGATCTCCCTTTGCCAATACTTGATTCCCTATTCCCCTGACTGCTGGATCCCCAAACAACTCTCCATCAGCAGGAGCAGCCTTTGGGTGCTCCATCAAGGTTTCCTCCAGAGCCCCACCTTCTCGGGATTGTTAGCACCTTCAGGGATGTAATCCTGGGTTAATGTACCTTCAAGAAGTTCATGCTCCCTTAAAACTTTATAGTGCAAGCCGAGCATGCCCAGAGGCACTTCTGTCCATCACTTTAATCTTAAAACGTGTTTCAGCATCTTCAACTGTGTGCTTAGGAGGGGGCCGCATCCTCTTGAGTAGCTATAGTCTTGTGTAAAGCTCACATGCTTCAGCCAAGGACGGCATTGCTTCAGGATGCGAGTGTGTGGTCACATGATGGTACTCCAGGAAGATGGTTTCATTATATAGATGACATGGTGCTGGTCTCGAAGCATTTTACAGATGTAGAAACACCTTGAAGATGTGCAAACCAAGCCTAAGGAAGAGAGTGGAATGTTAATCCACACAGTATGAGATAGGCTGAGATTTTTTCGAGACAGGGTTTTGAAACTTGCTTTAACTCATTGAAATCCTGCCTCTGCCTCTGCCTCTGCCTCTGCCTCTGCCTCTGCCTCTGCC